TGTTTTTTCCTTTCCATAAATGATCCCAAGTAATGTGAACGTATTACACTCTACTCAGGGGAAGGTTCCTGACACTCATTAGAACTCAATGAAGATGCTTGGATAAGCAACAAAACCTCTTTATCATTACAGACCAAGTGCAGCTGAATGTGACCACTACTAGCTACACCATGATCTGGATGACTGAGCCTTCACTAACACTTACAGGGTTTTATCTGACTTTTTCCCCCAGTAGACCAGCATCATCTTCACTCATCCAGGATCAGCACCTAATTCATGGTGGCCCAAAGGTGACACTTAAAGTGGACCTATACCTCCTTTCACTAAAAATCACATCAGCATGCAGCTCTGCATGACGACATAAAATCATCTTACATTCATTACTTAAACAAACTTGTTTTTCATTTACTTACAAATAGAGTTCAGCTACTTCCTGGTCCAGTTCTGGCACAAAGGATGTAATGTGCCAAAGCATTGCATCCTGGGAGGTTACTGTGACGGACCTAGGGCTGCAGAGATGTATTACCCCGGAGAACTTTGTGTGTTTTACAGTTTAATATTTTATCTGTGGAGAGCTTTTGCCTTGATGTGAACCATTCTTCTAAATGCAGCAGGATGTCTGGAGGGGCCATTGTTTACAGTGATGGGATTAAGCTCTTCTCTAATTAAGACAATCCAATGCGGCACCTAGCTGTCTAGGGGAGGGAACTGTTCGATGTAACAATGAATGCTTCTCTGATTTTGTGAGGTATAAACTGTGTGTGCTCTTCTTCATAAAGCAGTTCATGTTTCACTCCAAAGTCAGTATTGTCTGATTCTTGGAGTAAGCCCCCTATGCCATAGTCACTGGCTTCTGGTTCCAGCACCCAGGGAACAGGCTTAGGACGGAGATATCCAGTCGGGGTATCAGGGAGTCTGTCACAGTTACATCATCAGAGCATTGCTGGAAAATCTCCTCTGTAATCTCAGGAAAAGGCATTTCCCTCCCCTGAAATGTTCATGGTCACATGTCCTAATCACATGTGCCAGAGACCCAGGAAGTAAAGGAAGATCTAGTAATCTGCCTTTAGTTAACATGGCCACTGTCAAAAGACTGGGGAAGAAAAGAGAAATATGATATGCAAACAATACAAAGCCGGCAATTTCTAGAAGTATGTGTGTTTGTAGATTGTCATTACTAAACATTTCCAAAAGTGTGTTTGTTGTTATTTTAAAGATATGAGTAAAGGTCCACATTAAGTAAATCCTGATGTCTGTTGTGACAGCAGGTCAATAAAAATGTTTGGCTGTATTCAGGATGGGAGGTAAGATTCTGGCAGTGTGTTGAATATTGTCTGTTTTAATGAAGTGAGGGAGCTGAGGGTGTTTGGGTTGGCTGATTAGGCAACAAGCTCAGCTGAAGCAGGTCTGGTAGTTTTAGGCTCTATATAAATTCCCAGCCTGCTCAGGGATTTGGCTCCACCTTGGAACCATAGGCATGTTCAGTTGCTCAGCCGCTGCACGTGCTAAGCTAGCAAATTTCCACTGAACACTGTGCTGCAAGTCAGAGCTCAGCACTTCTAACTTAGCACTCGCAGCAGAAGTGAATGTGGCTGTAGAGCGCTGAGTGTGACTTGCATAGTAGAAGGTGGGGGGAGAGCACCAGCGGCCATTGTAACTGTGCGCACACCTGCCAGCGATGGAGAAGTTTGCCTGAGCCCTGATGCAGCAAATCACAATTCATTGTGGAAACCTAGAATTTAATGTTTTGGTCGAATGAAAAACTGTGTCTGACAGTAGAAACTGCACTATTGCCAGAGTTGAACACTGAATCCTCCGCTATTTTGCTTAGCACTATGCAGCAGAAACGTTCAGTGAAGCTGCTGCAGCGAACTGAAGTGCTGCAGAACAGCTACTCAGCGATTGGCTAAGGAACTGAACGCGTCTCAGTTTTTGTGTATGGCAGACTGGGGAACTCTGAGCTACCGATGTAGTGAAATACAGCCCATGATTGGTAGTTTGTGTGGCAAGGATACCTGGCCATCAGTTGGTTGATCCAAGTCGGTTAGCCAGGGACCATGTACATAAGTCGCCAAGTGGCAAGGTTTTATTATTTTCTTTTTGTCTGTTTATCTCCTGTACATTGTGTATACACTGAGTGGCCAGATTATTATGACCACCCCATCAGTACTTCGTTGGGCCACGAGATAACTCCACGAGATGACTTCGTTGGGCCGCCTCGTGACTCCACGAGATGTTGAAAGGTAATGCGAGGAATCTGACACTGCACTGTTGCCCTTCTGTTGTCTTGTACCAGTCTTGCCCCTCTCTCCGTTCTGCCCTAACATTGACTAGTCGCTGACGGCCACAATTCGCACGTTCAGACCCAGATTTTCAGCTGACAGTCCAGTCTTTAAACACTTTAACAACAGCTGCTCCTGAAAATTCAACGAATTCTGCTGTTTTGCTGATACTCGCTCCATGGCTCCGAGCGCCAACAATCATCCCACGTTCAAAGGCTGTTAAATCGCGTTGTTTCCCCGTATCTTCAGAAAAAAAAAACTTCTACTGTCGTGGTAAACAACCTGCTTCCCTATTTATAATGGTCTGGCCCTCTAGCAACTTCAGCGCAAAATTTTTGCTAATTTGCCTACAAACGTCAGGTGGTCATAATAAACTGGCCACTCAGTGTATAGCCTTTGTATATAAAGTACACGTGTGTTTCCCCGAGAACTAGTGGCTTTGTCTGCTTTAAGTGTTGTGAACACATTATGGTTCGATTCACACCTAGGTGTAGCGTTCTCCGCATTTGTCGCGCATTCCCATTAATGATTTTAATGGGTTCCTATACGTAGTAGCAAAATCTGCGACATGCATTCCGCGTTTTTTTCTTCTACGGTTGTGCACGTTTTAAGGCGCACAAGTGCAGAGGAGGAACACGCATACTCCCAGTGTGGGGGTGTCTAACTAGTTTGGGGTGCCATTATCTAGGGTGCCTTAGGGAGATGCACACCCTATCGCCATGTGAATCACAATACGCAGTAGTTTTTAGTTATCTATGAAAGGGGCATTTTTGTCACTCAGGCTGCACTTCAAACCTTTGTTCATGACATATTGGATACAATATATTGATTTTGGGTTTAGACAGTTAAATATTTGTCACGTTATTTTTGTATCTGGTACGAGCTGTCCATAAGATGCCCTTATCAGAAATAAGGAATGCGGTCAGCAAGGAGAAACAAAAACAAAACAATCAACGGTTTTAACGCTTCTTTACATTAAAAATGGGCCTTTGTTGGTGTCCCCATTGCAGAACTTTCCCATCACTTCCTGCCAGGAATCTCCCTATTATATGGAGACTAACTCTTTACCACACTGTTAACATTGAAATACAACATTTAGGCTGGAATTAGGCCTTAAAGCCCAATTGAATTTTAGGTTTAAAAATCAGCTAAATACATTCCAGGTCATCAAAACAAAAAGATGTACAAAGTCTTACAGTTTGTTTTCTTTAAAGGGCCGGTTCACACCACATCCAGTACGTTTTGGCATGGTTTAATCTCATAATTAAAGCCTCCCGCGTTCTGGGGCGGGAGGGGACATGGTGGTGCCATTGATGTTACCGCACCGCAGACATGCCTCCCGCACCAGAACACATGGTACAGCAATTCCTAAAATGCTGTGCGATTGCAAAAAATTCTCCTGGCACGCACTGGATGTGGTGTGAACCGGCCCTCAAACTCAGACACACGACCTGGTCAGAAATACCTGTCCTCTGCCAACATGTTGCAACTAAATACTCTTTGCTCTCTGTGTGGCAGCAGTGGTCTCTCTGCAGCAGTCAGACACCTCCTGCTGAGTCAGAACTAGAGCTCTCTAATCAACAAGGAGTGTGAAATTTGCTGACCCAGCAGGAGGTGTGTCAGAACTCTGCATAGAGAACGCTTTTCACACACGAAGCATCCTATTCTAAAGCATGCTGGCAAGGGATAGGTTGTTTCACATGCGGTGGCTGCTTTCTAAACAAAAGGAATTGTAAGACTTTGCACACCTCGAGCTTTAAGGTTTCGCATCTGGTTCTATTGTGCCGCTGCATCTGTATATTCTGCCTCTGAATCATCAACGCCCCGTTCACATCTCTGTAATGTATGTCTGGTATGTCCCTCGGCATCCTCATATCTAGGGATGCACTGATACTTTTCGAGTAGCAGTGCAGATACTTGGCAATTTCATGAGAACTATCAGGGTTGCAGCCGGGACCTGGCTCTGGCGCTCCACCACTGTCCTGAAATCATAAGTCTGTATTGTTTTAGAAAAACTGTCACATGACAATAAACAAAAATGTATCAGTACTCGTACTTGTAAAACTGGTATCTGTGCATCCCTTTATTTATATTTATAAAAACAAAATCGTACATTAAAACCGATATGTACGAATCCCAGGAGCTCCGTGTGCTCCTTACAAATGACAGCTGCCTCCTGAATTTTTCTCTAGTCTAGTCTGGGAGCTCGAAAAGTATCGTACATGTACTTGTACCGAGTACTGTACTTGGTATCTGTGCAACCCTACTCATATCCTATACACTGTATATAGATCGTGATGACTCAGGGACCTTAGACCACTGCAGCGGAGGAGTGGAGACTACAGGGACTGGCCTAAGGCAAATTGACTAGGAGGATCGAGTTTTTCTATTTTTGACCCTAGGTAGCCCCCACTGCAAGGGTTAAGAACATTTTTACCTGGAGTTCTGCTTTGAGCTCTGGGCTTTTCCCACTGCCAACCCCATCTGTACTAAGAATATAAAACATTAATAACAGTCTCCCTCTGTGCTTTCCACAATTCCCTAATAAAGCAAGACAAGCTTAGTACATACATCATGTAGCCCAGGCACCATATCATGGGCAGCGACAGTCTGAAATCTCACTTTGACTTTCTGAATACAAGTAGTTCTCCTCTGCCCACAATCTGAAGATTTGAATAAAAGCACAATATAACGTCTACATCAGATGCATCATTCTCTTGTGATAAAATATGAATTTATTACTAGAAAAAAAAAAGGATGTTTAAGAAGGCACAAGAAAAGTTGCTCAAGTAGAAGTTCTGTAAACAGAGGATTTGTTCAATCCAAAATGTAATAAAAAAGGCAACTGATGACATTTCATGTGTTAATTAGTCCACCCAAAGTATGCACTGTGAAATCATAATCCCAGGTAACGGTAAGGCAAATCTGCATACTTGAAACTCCACAACACAGGTACAATGGTAGTGTAAGCTTAGATAATATAATTTAAATATAAATGTGCTATGCTGGATCTATGTGGAACTATTATACCATGGTTCCAATGTTGTTTTCTGCGTCACAGTATACTAAAAAATAAATGTACGACCATTCGTGTACCACCGCCAATTATTGGCAACAGGTTGTAACTTGTGTTGGGGGGGCGACTACAACCCCCGGATTTATACTTCCCCGAAAACGAAGAGAAAAATGTTCAGAGTCTCTGAAGTGACCGCTAGGCTGCGTCGTATTTCTGTAGCGCCTCCTCCAACTTTAGCGTCACTTTTTGATAGAACATTATCTGTTGCTGTAGGAAATGCTGCATTTGTGATTTGAAGTCCCGCACGCGGATTTTGTGAAAGTGCTGGATTTCTGCCAGGGTGGCGTAGGAGATAATGTTACAGCGTTCTTGGATGTCGCTCGCTTTCTGAAGCTCCATCTTGCCCTCTTCCACGTGCTTCTTGCTCTCGCGGACTTTGGTTAGCGCTCCTACAATAAAAAGGAAAGGAGAATGGTTAAGCCATGGTTTTTCGAGTTAAAGTGGAGCTATACCTATAGATGTAATGGTTTCCAAAGAGAAAGCTCAAAGTTAGCAATGTTCAATACATTTTATTAAACCATTAAACACAATAATGTTGTTCTCTGCAGTGTTTTCATTTACATTCTACCTACTAGCACATGCACAGTGTATGCTACAGTACAAGGAATGTCTCTGGAGGTAACTGTCACAATTGCCAGTGTGCTTATGTCGGCCCTTAAAGTGGAAATTGCAATCTATTTACACTTTTGCAGCCAAATTGGGATAACGCCTACTTTATATTTGTCACATGTTCCTTGCACTGCAGGGTTAAGTGCTCGTTTTGGTCTGGGGTGTAAAATAGAAAAAGTTTAAAAAATAAATTTTAAAAAAAGGATATACTCACCTTCACCTCAAACCTGCCTGGCTGCTAGACAGTTCCATTCAGCCTCCTGACAGCTATACCTATACAAACAAGTCAGGGGGACCCTTCTGCTATAAGCTCATGTTCGCTGAAGCAACCATGAGCTTATAGCAGAAGGGTGAATGCCACCGACATAATGCATACTGAGCTGGCCAGCTGGGGACATTTTGTTCCGCCTTAGGCCTTTCTTCATTGGTAGGGAAAGGGTTGAAAGCCTTTACAGCTCATCAGTTTCGAGTCAGTAGTTAACAATGGTCCTAAAAATGATTGCCCCCACTCTGTCCTGCACGGCAATACCTAATATGTGTAGTGCAATTGTTGTGTTTTTTTTTTTTACTTCACCTTATTGCTACCACAATGTGATAGCATTGTGCAGGTGATGGGCTCTCTTTAAGGAAATGTTAACCCCGTCATCCCTGCACTCTTTTGAAGATAAATGAGCACACACTGTGCTTAATTAGCTTTATCCCTGGCCAGAGCGGCTAGAGATGGACAGCTCAGAACCTGTTAGTGGTCAGAACTGAGCACATCCAGGTTCTTTCTCCATAGGCAAGATCAGCGATCTGTTCTTTGCTCATGCCCCACCGTACAGACATTGGTCATGGTGGGCACCCACTAGGTACAAGTGAGCCCAGAACACATGGCTGTAGGGTGCAGAAAAGAGGAGGGGGTGGTCTTCTGTAGCATGTAGAAGTTATTGGGTGGCTGTAAAGCCAGCAACAAAAATGTCAAGTCTCCGGGAGACGGATTACATTCCGCTGCTGCCACAGACACAGTACTCGTATCCAAAATGGTAAAAGATCAAATGTCTACTCTCTGGTAAGCATCTGCGGCCTCCTCTGCAGATCAATAGAAGTCTTGAGAAGTGGCAGCGGGTAGGATCAAACTCATCCCACATGTAAAATGCTGTGACTGGCACATAAATTCAACTGCCTCAGTCTCTCATTGTTCTGATGTACACTTTTCACAGATAACTGCTGCTTATGCATTTTACTATAAATCACCTGTCGCTGCTTGCCATCAGGTTGGAATGTAAATGTTCATTACATTATGCTAGTAACAGATTTATAATAAACATTAGGGATGCACTGATACCAGTTCAGATACCAGTGCTTGGCATTTTCATGAGAACTACCGGGGTTGCAGCTGGGACCGAGCTCTGGCGCTCCACCACTGTCCTGAAATTATTATTCTGTATTGTTTTAGAAAAACTGTAACATGACAATAAACAAAAATGTATCAGTACTTGTATCTGTGAGAACATGGACAAGTATCAGTACTTGTACTTGCAAAAATGGTATCGGTGCATCCCTTATATATATTTATAAAAACAAAATCATACATTAAAACAGAGATGTACAAATCCCAGGAGCCCCGTAGCCAATGCCTCTTCAAAATGACAGCCGACTCCTAACGTTTGAATTTTTCTCTAGTCTTGGAGCTCGAAAAGTATCTGTACATGTACCGAGTATGGTACTTGGTATCGGTGCATCCCTAATAAAAACATACTATAGTTTAAAGTTAAAATAAACTCAGCAATTAAATCTTAAAAATGCACCAGGGTAGTTAGTACCCTAACTATTAAGAAAAATGTATCCTATTTGTGCGTCACTCGGCTGTAGATCCTCAAATCATCTCTGAATCTGTGCGTTTAGTGTCACTTTAAGCAATATAACGTGAATTGATCAATAAATATGAATGACCTGCATTTGCAGGCTAAGAAAGGTGGTGACACATACATGCTTCAAAGACCATTAAATGGCATTTTTACTGACTGGTTGAGCAAGATCTATCAGTATGAGCCGTATATGCGCTCACATTGTAATGAGATGTTCTGTGTGTGGGTGGTTGGCGAAGGCTTTGAAGTTTATGTAGGTCACAACCTCTAAGCATCCTGCATACAGTGAGTATTTGTAGGAAAAAGCTGACATTCTTTTCTGTAATCACAGCCAAATATCTCGTCTTCCAGATATGCAATTACAGCACTTCATTCTGGAAGCAGAACAGAGTCATATTTATTGTCTGTAAAGGCCTATGCAAAGAAGCTGAAAGTTATTTGTGAACACACTTAATACAAAGGCCCATTGTTTTGCAGCAATTGTAAGTTAGTTAATCTACTTTACTCTAACCCCATTTCATTTGTAAAAAATATATATATATTTTTTGACCACGCGTCTGATTCAGCAAATCACTGGTACAGTAGAAAGGCATCATGGCACACTCACAAACCAGCATGTAAAACAACTTGTCTCACCACTAAGGACAATGACAGAGGTTTGGATACACGTCTTCTGCAAAGGATGTGTAAGCCGCACTGCCGCGCCAAGGCACCTCTTATAGTGCGGTCCTAACTCTAAACTATGAGAGTCTCCATCTTGGAGCACATGGGGGCAGAAGATATCAAATTGGGTGCAGGCCTGTCAGGAGGACGCCCCACCTCCTTAAAGGTACAGAGACACACAAGGGATCCCGCACATCCCATTGGCAGCTGAGAAACCCCATGCGTCGCTGCACCAAATCGGTAAAGCAAAACAAACGACAAACGCACTCAACAATTTGTCGCACTCAACTCTAAAGTTAGGACCGCACTATAAGAGGTGCCTTGGCGCGGCAGTGCGGCTTACACATCCTTTGCAGAAGACGTGTATCCAAACCTCTGTCATTGTCCTTAGTGGTGAGACAAGTTGTTTTACATGCTGGTTTGTGAGTGTGCCATGATGCCTTTCTACTGTACCACTGTTCAAAGCCCATTTCGTGTGCACCTTACTGTATAACTGGTAACAAATTGTTGAGTGCGTTTGTCGTTTGTTTTGCTTTACTGATTCAGCAAATCTTCCCTTATCTGGGGTGGGTGTCTGTTTACCAGGCAGGTGAGTAGTAAGTTACATTGTGCACACAGCGGGGAGGTCTCGCTGGGTTCCAGAAGGGTATCCCTTCTGCAATCTGGGCTCATACAGGCTGCAGCTGCAAAAGGCAGGCTGTGATTGGGTAACTGTTCAATGCCATACTGTCATGGCCTTTTTTGCAGCTGTAGCGGGAGGCGTGCCAGTCAAACTATGGGAGATACCAGCATGTAATGCATCAAGGATCCAAGGATATCCAAATTGATCATGCCAGCATGGATGTGCTTCCATGTTTGGCATGATCAGATTGCAAAAAGAAAGAAGGGGACTAGTAGGATCACCAGGTAATTGACAAAAAACTAAGAAAAAAAAAAAAGGGAACAAAGTAAATCTACAAAAATTTACAAGCAAACAGACGTGTGAAATTTTTTTTTATTTTGGGATAACATAGACTTTGAAGGATTAGGGTAAACCCTAACAATGGTCACCTCTTATTTGGTGCCTTCTGGTCTGGTAAATATACCAATTTGGTCTCTTCTGGTCTAGTAAATATACCAATTTGGTCTTGTCTGGTAAACATACCATTGGAAGGGTTTTGCAATACTGTATCTGCTTGATAAGCGCTTGTAAAAAAAAAAAAAAAAAACCCAACAACAACCTTGCTGATCTTGCCAGATGGACACCAGATGCCAGTTACATTATTTTTAGCTATTCCTGAGAGCTAAAGAACTACACCCCTCCTAGGTTAAAAGGAGAACTATGGGGTTAGGGCTTTTCCCCATAGTTCTCCCAAGGGTAACGGGAGGACGCAAAATAGCGTCCTCCCGTCACCCAAAGCTCAGTATACCGCAAGACTAAGACGCCACAGCCGGAGCGGATCCCGACAATTATGTCTGGATCCGCACAGCTGCGTGACAGCTGGCTCTGCCTATCTAGGAGGCAGAGCAAGCTGTACCCGCCCCCTCCCCCGTCCATTCCGCCAGTCAGCGCTGGAGGATCGGACAGGGGAGGGGGGAATCCAGTTCCTCCCCTGTCACGGCTCTCTGCCAGCACAGGATCGAGAAGTGAGCGAGCGCCGGTATGTGTTCGCTCTACTGAGCCGAACTGTGACAGTTTCATTGTCACAGGTCGGCTCAGATTGTGAAAATCACTCACCTCATAATTCTCCTTTAAGTAAAACAGGAGAGGTATGGAATTCAGTTCTATCTTCTTTCTGCTGTCATGATACAGAAGGGTGAACAAGCATTTACAACCTAGGACAAAAGGTCCTAAAAAAAACAAACCTTGAAAAAGGGGAACCTAGAAATATAGGGCATGAATCTCTGCGAATGATAGATTTATACCTTTTACTGCAATTCAACTCCAGGTCCAGCCATGAGAGATTGTACAGTAACACAAGTCCTGATGAAGTGGGAGTGTCTGAACCCCAGAAATGTGTTGGCTTGTTTTCTTGTATTATTTTAATTGCTTTGCGACCATTGGTGTGGTTCTCCTTTTGCTTCTTATATAGTTGGAGGCATTTGTGGAGTAACCAAATGTGGCACCGAGTATGCAACTTCAGAATGGTGGTCATAAAGATCTACGAGACGTACCCAAGATAACAGTGCATGCAACATGATTACTCCTAGGCGAGCAGTACTCACTGCTTTCAAATGTTAAGGTTCCTGAAGTGCCTCTAGCACCGAATAACAGTACTGTGCTTTAT